CCATTAATGTAATCGTAACAATATAACACGTAAGTTTAGATATTACGAAACATTCTGTATACGTCTCCGTAACGAACGCGCTAATATCCGTGGATGAAAAATGAATTTATAGAGATATCAAAGAAAATCTTACGAAACGCGTGGCATGAAGATGCTCTTTACGGAGGAAAGGAGAAAAATCGAAATCGAAAATCTCGTCTAGAAGGCCTGAATCGAACCAGATGCCTCGCAGGAGTAAGTGACGATTTTTGTAGCGAGCGAAGAGCAATGATGAGACGCGATTGGCCACGGATTATCCATTGCTCAACAGAGAGAACGGAGATCCTCGCGAAAGAGACACGCAGATTGAATCGGGAACAAGATAAAGAGAGAAAGAAAGACGGACGGAGTGGCGAGGACGAAGAGGAGAGGGCCATTTGCATCGGAATGCAAGCCTGGCTGAGCCAATGTGCTGTGCTCGGCAGAACGCGTGCACGCACCGCGTATACACGTATATATACGAGCAACGCGTGAAATTTCCAAGGGAGGAAGCCAAGCACGCGTTTCCTTGTGGTGAACCCTCAAATCTCTCGTGTACGATACTGTCTTTTGAACTACGATAAATATCGATCCGAAATACCGACAGTTCCAATAATTTTAACCGTTAATTTTAATGCTAGATAATTGTTGAAAATATTACGGTCGGTAAACATGTATCTACGCGCCATCTGCTAATGTCACGTAAACGTGTTCCGGTAGTCAGTGTGTTGCGAACATAGCAGTAATAAAGACATAACCTAAAAGGACGCGTGGACATTTACCATAAAATTCCGCAACCTTGCAACAATAATTCTGGTCACAGTTGAGGAATATTTTAAATGATGAAATCTTCGAGTGCATGGGGTTATTTTCTGATAACAGTATAGTAATTTCTTGTTCTTCAAAGTGCTATAATAATGTAGGTTGATGTTATGTAGAATGTTATATCAGGATATAAGTGTGGGCAATTATGATAAATATTTCGAAATTATTTATATCCTGGGTGGAAAACGCCTTCGTAGCAATTAGTTAAATATATGGTACTGTGTACATCAGGGATCACTATTATTTATGTTAGATGGGTAGTAAATTTTTAAAATTAGAAACTTAAAAAATATGTAATTAGGAAATTTGAATTTAGAACTTAGAAATATTAAATTATTAAGTTCATAAATTTAGAAATATCAAGTTTACAAATTTAGAAATACCAGATTTATAAATTTTCTGTTCTTCACATTTACAATTTTAGAATCATCAAATTACTTACTAATTTATAAAATTAGAAATGAAAAGAAAAATTAAAATAAACCCAATAAAAATATAACAGAAATACTAAACACTCAATTTATAATACTCCAGTAGAAGTTAAAAATAATTGTAAATAAAGATACCGATCAATCAACATCCAACATCCAAGAAGCGTTTGAAAATTTCAAAGTCAGATAAATAAACTAAATTAATTTTGGATCTCCCAGCGTTAAGTCATCGATAGAAATTGCCAAAAATCCTCGAAAAACTGTCTGCTCGATTTAGAACCGTGCATGTTACAAGATTTCAAAATAAAAAAAATCTCCCGTCTTTCATAACAGGGGCGGATTTAGAAGGTGGCGATTGCCCCCTGTGAAATTTATAAAATCTCAACAAAAAATTTTTTTCAAACTATAAAATATCATAATTATAATATATTATGAAATATTTTATATTATATTATAAAATATTTTCATTATAATATTATAATTTTTATTTTATCCAGAACATTTATAAAATTGTAAAATATAAAAATAAAAATTTAAGATAAAGTTTAGGTAAAATAAAATTGTTTAATAAGAATTCAAATTTAAAATTGACATAAATTATTTTTTTTTAAATTTATAATTTTTATAGGTGTGTTTTCACCGTTAGAACCATTAGAAACGAAAATGCTTTCATTAATTAACTTTATTTATGAACTACAATTCTGTAGTATTTCACGTTACATATTTTAAATTTTCGTGTTGTCGAATTCCAACTAGTTTATGAATGCCTTATAACTAGTGGTGAATTTAAAAAAACACCAGCAGGATATGCACAAGAAACTTATGTAAGTACCTTATGTAATATAACATACATTAATTATTGCAGTATTCTGCACATAGAAGTTCTAAACCTGTTAAATGATACCGAAACGAAATCAATATATAGTTATTCAGTTTGTTGTACAACTAATTAACATGAAATTAATTATTACATTTTTTTGTACAAATAATTAACATAAAATTAATTATTCAATTTTCTATACAAATAATTAACATGAATGATACTCCTGAATATTTTGCCCCTATAGAAACAGTAATTTTATGTATACGTCCCTGTTCTGGAAGAAGTATAGAAGGTGTTTAGTCTGCAAGATAGTATCCCCTCGCCACGCGAAACTCGGTTTAGCAGCTGTCGTCAAAAAGTCTCCAGAAGCAAACTCAAAACTAGAATCGAGCCGCGAGCCAATCTCGAAAATCGACGATGACATCATGCAAACAGCATTTCGACCGAAATAAATATACCGTACATCGACATTCTCCCACTTCCTGTCTTCTCCCACGTGAACACAGACTCCCTTCTCGCGACATTCTACGAATTTCAACAATGGATATTACCTAACTTTATCATGGGGTACATTTTGGTGCATGTAGGATTCCTTTCGGTAAAAATATCCGGCGGGAAGTGATCATCGGTTGTCCTCCATTTTGGAGAAAGTGACATGTGAAGGTGCATATTTTTTAATTTCCAAATCCTCAAAGTTAAAAATTTTTCAATTCCTAAATTCTTAGATTTACATTTCCTGATTTTCAAATTATCAAAAATTTGCAACCAAAAATATTTTCAAAAATTTACAACTTCTAAAAATTTCTAGGTTAGGAAATTTCAAAGTTTCAGTTTCCCCTAAACCGGAGCAAATGCACAATTCGCCCGAGGCTAACAGCAGAATTAAAATCAGCACTCCTGATTTCAAATTCAAATGAACAGCACAATATATCATCTCACGAGTTACAAAGAAAATCTCTGACGCGTAAATTCGTTAAAACCCAATTTTTGAATTATGCAAGTGAAGTGTATACATACACACGTAAACGTAGCAACCCGCTGTGATAATTCACTCTAAGAAGAAAAACAACTAGTTAATCCGGTGTTAATCGTTGTTACAACGACAAATATGAATTATCGGTATGAGGGAGCGGTGAGTGACCGGAAGTAACATGATTTCTCACGAAATAACTTCCTGTCTAGAGCTCCCACCGTCCCTCATTTAAAAGTTCATCGGTCCCTCGCTGCATGTAATCCCAACTAACGGAGAGGTTCATCGGCACGAGGGTTAGAAGAGAAATATCCGTGCACTGCTAACAACACCAGGTTACACAATGTCACTATCATTCGTATTATTATACTTACGAACGTTTATTCAAACGCACGATTTTCACATTATATACGTTTTCCACATTTTTTTAACGAATTTATAAATGTTACACACCTTGTATTTTCAATCATATAAATTATAAATCAAGAAATGTACTTTATATTTTCATATTATAACTGCAACTATTACTGAATTTACATGTTTTCGAATATAACAAATTTTCAAACTCTTTAATTTACAAAATTTCAAATTTAAAAGTGTAGAAACTTTAATAGTAATTTTTTAATTTCTTTGTAGAAGTATTAATTATTCGTTCAATATCAACAATTTATATGCTAAAGTTGATACGGTCTATTTTACCTAAAATTTAAGCATCTTCTAATGTTATAATGTACCTTCCTAACTCTTAATATAACAGCTAATATATTATAGCTTTAGATACCTTCAACAAATACAAGGTTACTGAAAAATTGAAGAAGGTGGTAAGATAATGATTGGTTATGTTCAAGTTGTAAAAGAAGTTGAAGGTGACAATGAATTTGCATCAACATATTGTGGTAACAACTATGTGTTCTATACTTATATTATGCATGTCCTTGTACTCGTTGTTTGCTAATGAATGACATTTGTTAATTATTAAGATTGGAAGTTTCAAAGTTCTTAACATTGAAATTAAAGATCCTAGCCTGTATAATCTTGAACTACATGTAATTACTACTTATAGAACTTTTATTATATAAATGTTACTATTCTTTATCACATAATGTTCCTCCTCTCTGAGTGAATTAAATTATACAGGAAAAATGTTTCAAACAGGTTATGGACATATTTGCAAAAATAATCTGATTAAAAAAAATAACACTCAGTTACAAAAATAAAATAATGTAAAATGTAACAATATGAGAATAATATATTACTTGAAAAGTGTTTCTATAATAATATTCTTTTTATACTGAATTATACATATATGCATTGAAATAATTACAAATTATATTATAAATTTAAAACAACAAAATAATTTAAATATAAATAAATAAACTTATCAAATTTTATATCACGAGTTGGTTTATTTTAAACTGAACTTAACTATGCTATATTTTTAAATTTCTATATTGTGTAAAGTAATCTTCACAATATGGAATTGGGAACTTAAATACTACAGGAACTGTTCCCATTTTATTGTACTTTCTCCAACCTACACAATAATTCTTAGAAAATTCATTCTTCCCATAAATTATTCAGAAAATCTCAAATTTCATTTCCATAATGAAATCTTTAGTCAGATTAAATCTTTTTATTCGATACCTTCAAGCAAATCCCCAGTTAAATTAAAACAGCATTCGCCTCTAATTTCTCTTGAATTATCGAGCAATAAATTGTCTTTTTAAAGGAGTCACATTTCTTTAAACAAGCGTATAGTATAATGAAACGCTGCGTGATAAAATATAATTAATGAATCGTTTTGATGCGCGGATACTCGTTATAAAACGCGAATAAGTATGCATATAGCTTGTCGAGCATTCTTCTCTTACCAATACGATGATTCGCGTGCTTAAGGACAACGAAAATAATTAAAAGGACTTCCGGGACTTACCTCGAGCACGTCCTGTGCGGTCTGAAGATATTCTCGAAGCATAGCCTCTTGAATGGCTCGCCATTCTTGCCTTGGATCTTCGAGTTGTGTCGTCTCTGAAAATTAAACCGAAACGAAGTATTAGACACTCTATCGTTGAATTTAGGGCGAAGGAATTAATACCTATAACGAACGCGCAACAAAAATGTCAAAAACGATTTCGACGAAATGACGCACATTCCAACTCGATGAGGATCACTAGTTCGATTATCGATCGTATTTCACCACCGATGGCGCTGCGTTAATTTCTTTTTTTACTTTTCTGTCGCCAACAATTTTGCCTACCGTTATCGTCATTTACGTATCTGTGTGTCATAATAAAATATTGTCTTGTTTAATTAAATTGTCGATATATTCCTACTGTAACCTACAATCCACAATCCAATAAATATGTCTGACCTACTAAGAAATCAATCAATGAGTACAGTATTTATACATCACACTTGCACACAGTATAAGAATACAGGAAAAAAAAGAGATAGTTCATTTTTTAAATAAATTAAGATTTTAGTATCATTTGTTAGAGTTTAAAGAAAGCTATAAAATAGTAGTATAATAAGAAGAAGAATCTATGACGCTGCAAAAAAATGAAGGATCAAAAAATCTTGAACTTAAGAAACCTCATCAATAATCATATTACTTCAATAAAAAATTGATTAATAATTCATTAATAAAGATTGACAAAAAGATTAATCAACAGAACATTTAATTTAAACTCATTCTAAGAAAAAATAACACTGAATTATGGATCTTGTGGTTGCATCATATTTCACAAACTTTATTTCACGAGTATTAAACAATTTATTTTCCACGACTCTGATTGCTCTTTCCTTGGACACTTCAATTACCAAGCAAATTCAATATATTAGACTTTGATACATCATAAAATGCGTAAGCATCTGCAGTTTAATTATCAATATAATTTACCTTGAAGAAGCCAATAAATATAATGAAATAACATTTGAAAAATTATGTAAAGAAGATAATACTCACGATTGACATGATTAATGTAGTATGCACCAACGTGTTTGTCGTAAGCTTCCTCCCAGCCAAGTGGAAGCTCGTTTCCAATGCAATCTGCAAATGTTTGAGGTTTTGTAAACCTGTAATTAGAAGAAAAAACCAATAAGAAACATTATCCATAAAACATTTTCTTAAATTGCTATTTCTTTTGTTTCATTAGTATAATGTTACATCATATGTTCAAGGATGGCAAATACATTTAGAGCCTCTAAATGACTAAAAGTTAATTTTTTAATCTTTTTAAAATAGATAGTATATACAATAATTTTGTGTACCTATATGCTATCATTGATTATTGATATTTTTAGATTTTAAAAGTTTTGAACTTTAGGAATTTGGAATTTTAGAATCCCTCTTTTTAAATCTTTAAATCCTTATAACCTTAAAATTTCATATTCATATACAGATTTCTGTATTTCTATTTTTAAATCTGTATATTTAAAAAATTCACATATACCTAAATCTTGTATTTCCAAATCCCAAAATGACCTACATTCATATTTTAGTAAAAGGTTTCAACATTTTTATTTCACTTTGATCAACTTTATTTTCCGTTTACCAAATCACAATTTTACAATTTAAATAACGTTGCTAATAGAAATGTGAAGAAATTGTTTCTTTACGAGTATTTTAACAAATGATAACCATTTGTATTACTCTCGAGCAGAGGTTTGTAATTATCTCCACGGTCTCTCAATGGCAGTGAAACGAAGGAACACTAACAGCCATTACGTAATCTTAAAAGATTTCGAAGGTTTCGAGAGGAATTTACGAAGACGAACACCAGCCTTGGTACGAAAGAAGAGTTTAGCATTGAAGGATCGATTTCTTAATTCGAGACGCAGCGAGTGCCACTAAATTCTGCCAATTTCTGATCACTACTGAGCATCAATAACTAAAAGATAGTACATATAAAATCTTCCCGCCATTTTGCAGAGACATATTTGTATAAAACAAATAAATACTAGTTACAATAAAATATTACAAATATTATTTGGCAGCAAAATTTCCGAAATTAATTTTCAAACAAATGAATTAATAATTAAATTAATAACTTCCGTATTAGTTATTCGAAATAAAATGTGTCAAGACTGATTTCAACATATTTTACTATTAATTTTGATGCTATTCAAAAGTGGCTGATGTTGCTTCACCGGTAAAATTGTAAACGACAAACAGGTAAGGACAATATTGATGTTTGAAAATTTGCTATGGCCTAATTCGATCATATTTTCATATCGTATATACGGGTATGCGCAACAACGAGATTGTATCTTGCATACAAAATAACCTGACCTCCGCAGGCCAGCGACCAACTGGAGTTTATCGTGACGAAAGTGAAATGGAATCGGTAATCGACACAGAAGAATGCGAATACCAACGAGTAGGTACAAGCACAATGAAAATGTTCAATTGCTACCTATTTCTTGATTGCTTTCGCAATCTTTAATTCCTGTAGTCAACATAAAAGTAACTGATAGAATTGAGCTTTATTTAATATGTATCATTACATTTATTTATACTTTACACGACACGTGTCTGATAGGCGGGATAGAGCGACACGAACTGCACGAACGCACAATGCCTTCCGAGACACCAACGCATCAAAGACAAAAACACGACGCACGACCAGTGACGTACACGCCGAATATCCTCTCTTTCAGTAACAAGTAATTCACTCATTCCTCTTTAGGTGAAATTAATTTGAATTGTTTATTTATTGCTGAAATTCCAAAATAAGTTTTGATGTTAAATAATTCTTTATCTGAAAATCACATTAAAGTCCATTTTCTTTTTAGATTTAATTAATTTTTATCTATAGAGCTACGGGATGCATAAATATACAAATATAAAAATTTAAGAATCCTGATGTATAGAAATCTAGGATATAGGGATTTATGGATCTTATGATGCAAGGATCTAGAAATATGCAGCTGCAGGTGTATATGGATCTTCAGATGCAAGAATCTAGGAGTGTTCAGATCTAACGATACAAGAATACATGGATTCAGAAATATATTAGTACAAATAAATTGAAAGACTAATATTATTAACGTACATTATAATGAAACAAGCTGTAGTTCATTTGAAGGTGTAACATTTTTATTTTATCCTAATACCGTACAGTAGACATTTGACCTGTATGAAACTTTCATTTCTAACAAGTCACATTTCAATGAACTTTCTCTGTATGTTCAGAAAATACTAATTAATGTCTTATATTCCTCTTACAATTCTTTTCAAGTAACTAGTTTTATCGTGTTTTCTTGACTTTTAAATCATATTTTATTACATTATAGTTAATTAACTTAGCTTATGGGATATTTACCCCATAACATTAAAGACAGGTCTAACAAGAGTTGTTAACAACATTTCTAACAGCATACAAGAGGTAACAGTGTAAATTTGGAAGTTTTGATGAAATATATTTATAGCCCAAATTGATAATATGTGGTTCATGAGATATTAAATTGATTTTTTATACTAAAATATTGCTCTTAGTATAAAATGCATTGTTTAAATCACTAAATTTTTTAATAAATTGAAACTAAATGATTGTTCAAGAGTATATAGCTATTAAGCGACCTTCTAAAAAATATAAGATTGTTAGTACGTCTAACTCATAAATGTATACATGTATCTTTATCACTCTGTATGGGAATGATCTATCTTAAAACATTAAAATGACTTACTTGTTTTAAACAATACTTGTATAAAGTATTTTATAACTTTAAAAATATAAACAAAGAAAATAATATTTACAGGTTAACCAAGTATAAAAAACTGAAGTAAATATGTATCAGTTTAGAGATAATAATAACCATATACTTTCAAGAAGGCCACCCAGAAGTTATATAACATCACAACAATAATATTTCAACCTATTATTTGAATTTATAACCATATTAATGGCATTCAGAGTTTCCTTTCCGGATTAATTTACTGAATTAAATTCATAGCGTTGGTCGTCACTGACCCCTATGATAATGGCGGATACCATGAACCAATCATGTGTCCATCCACATTAAAGAATTCCATGAACGACCCCTTAATTTCTTTTCCGTCGCGTGATTCACGTTTTTAATGTGCCCTTGGCCTTACCCCGCGTTGTTGTCCTACAATATCAAACAGGGAGGAGGCGGAGGAGGGTCAAGAACGTACATCATGACGGAGGAGAAATAACGTCAACAGTGCCAGTGGTGCGAGAGGGGAAATGGGGGAAGGAGAGACAGTATTGAAGGATGAAGAGGGTAACGGAGGATCAACCGAGGACAAATTAAATAATGAAAATATACATATATACACTTGTACTCTGATAAAACTGTGATACTATACTATATATTATAGTAAAATTTACTAAAATGTAACAAGTATATTACTAAAAGTATATGTAATTTTATATATTAGAACATTAATGAAATTGTGTGATCTAAAGCAAAAGATAAGAAAATGTAATATTTTCCATATACATTAGTGTAATTAAGTAGGTGAAGACAAAAGACAAGAATCTGCTCTACTTATTACAATTATTGAAATAGCTACAATTATATTGCAATACATAGTAGTGTTTTTCTTAAAAATAAGAAAAATGTAAATTTGGTAATTTTAGTAATAACTGGTAATTATTTAGTAAAAATTACTAAATAACTTTTAGTAATTTTAATAATAAATTTCTAGATTTCTATATTTCAAGATACCGAAATTCCAAGATGGTAATTCCCTAGGCTTAAATTCCCTAAATCTAAAAAACCTAGAATCTAACCCATGTCCCAAATTCCCTAGATCAAATTCCCTAGGTTAGTAACTCTACATCCTAGTATATCAAAATACCGATAAATTTAAATAATATTCTCTCACAGTTTTAAAATAACTCCACCATAAAATCATAGATCTTATTCAACTGCAATTTCAGAATTTTAAAAATACTAATGCCGCTTGAAGAAGGTTGTAAATTGTCTTATCTATGGACTTATAGAACTCGGAAAATTAGCGTCGATCGTATCTCAACAACCCGGTAACGTGTCATTGAAACAATACGGAGTCTCACGTTACACCAACTATTAGCAACCATATTAGTAATTGTTGCTAATATTACACCATCAACAGATACCACTTATTAGAAGTTTCATATGCTACGTTTGTAGTACGTTCACCTTATTTTCCTAGACCTCTTCCTGGAAGGAAGCTGAGAAACGATGTTTACCGAGGGAAACAGAAAACGAAATGTAAATTGCAATTGCTGTGTGAGCTTTAATTATACCCGACGCGTTGTGAAATACGCAAACATCGTTAACGTTTAAATGCTACGTTACCGTGGCATCCGTATAAAGTGAACTTTTCGCAAATATCTAATCAATGAAGTTAAAAATAATTCAATAAGTATTTTATTCCAAGTTTTTTAATACGGGTCACAACTTAGGGGTCATCGATTTCATTCAAACTTTGTACAATTACGGAGACTACCAAAAGTAATGATACTGCAAAGCCGTATTGAGCAACACTCAAAAATAAGAGAGAAATTTACATTCGAAGTTCTTGTAATTCGTATTCCAATATGGCGGAGTTTCGATGAAACGTGTACCGCAGAGTTACGAGGTCTCCTTGCCAGTATAAAAACTTCAAAATTGTCTTCTGATATCTGATTGTCACCTTGCGTTAATTACTTTTTTCAAATTAGTGTGTACACAGTGAAACGAAATTACTGGAAACCCGATCCACGTTGATTTACGAACACGTATGATTTTCGTGGAATGTTTCCGACGTGTCTCGAGGTTATCAAACATAATGCAGTATAAACTGCATAAAACACCCAAAGCACATATTTCGTAGACAATTTTATGACATTCGTTCGTCTGTTTGCCGAGACGCACGCAGGGTATACACGGCACTCGTCAAAATGTTTAGTCGCGCAGTCATTTTCGAGATGAATTTTAATTACGGTCTTATAGAGGCCAATCTTTATGATTGACATTGTTAGGTTGAAAATTAAATTACCTTTTGTATTTGAGAATTGCTTATCAAAATTTAACCAATTTATTTGTTTACGCAGGCTGGCTCGAATGGGTGACATATCGATTGT